AATGTCCTCTGACTCATTGTCTTCTTGCTGCGTATCAGTGTCTTCCTCTTCAGGCACTGTTGGCATAGGGGGTTCAGCTGGCGCTGCAGGTCTGATGTCACGTCGCTTGGTAGTGGAGGCTTGCTTGGGCTCTGGTGGCTTCTGTTTCTGGCGCTGATGGATCACAGTTGCAACACCACTTTCTTCAGGACTCATCATCGTCACTCTTGTTGTCGTCCAAGGTCTGCTCCTGCTTGTTGTAGAGGCTCACATAGTGTAGTGGCATAGATACTGCAGCTGCTGTTGCAGTCTGTTGTTGTCCACCAGTGCTGCTCTTTGGGCTGTACACTGCATTGGTGCCTTTTATCTCGTTCTCGAGCACTACAACCAGCCTCCTTGTGTCCCCTTTCGCCGCAATAGCTGCAATTGCCTTCAAACTTCTTCTTGCCATCAAACTTGCCTTTGGCGCCTTTCTTTCCTGTCTTTGCCTGCATCTTTGCTGTTCCACTTTCCTTTGCCCTTGTCTTTGCCGTTTTGTTCTTTGTCCACATTGCCAACGTCCAAGGGCTGCGGGCCATCATTGCTGCTCTTGCTCAGCAATCCTTGGGAGTCACGGATTTATATAACCACTCTGCAAATAGTCCTTGATGCATTTCCTCAGGGCTTCATAGTTGGCCCCAATGCTTGAACTCGATGTCCTCAAAGCGGTCTGGATGCTCTTTGGGGCATGCTTCATCACCACTGCACAGTTTGTGGACGAGGTCACATCTGCACCAGTCCGATCTTCATATCTTCTTTGCAAGAAACTCCCACGCGTCCAAGGCTTCCATGAAGTCTGCTTCCTTGATGTTGCTCCATGTTGGGCTGATCACGCCCATCAACATGGCTGTTTGTCGTCCTCCCATCATTGGTTCATAGGCGCCCATACTGCACGCTCAACAGGTTGAAGTAGGACGTAGTCCTCCATGGCACCCGCTGCGCGCACCACGTCCGGTTGGGAGCGCCTGGGCCTCTGTCACCAGGTCTTTACCGTCCCGAGGGCCGCCATGGCAGGTCCGTGGTCTTACCTTACCCTCTCTGAGACTCTGCCCTGAGTTTACCCCAGAGCTCCGCTACCATGCAGCGGAGTGGCGCACCACAGAGAGACCCCTCTCTTCTCTTGAGGATTCAAAGGGTTGTATGGTCATGTACACTCTCTCATGTACACCGTTGCACACACACACAGAATAGGTTCCTGCGAACTACCGCCAACTTCCGTGACTGATCGTCTTTCAAGTGGCCAGCAGGGTGCGTTCCTCGCGCAACAGCCTATCCATCTGTGCATAGTCCCGCACCTGAAAAAAAGTACAACGAACCAAAGTCTTGCACTGCTGCTGCCTCACCTGGATGTTGCTCTCCATGTCTGTCTTTGGTGCAGATAGGCAGAACTGGATGAGTCCAATTTTGGCATCCTGAAATTCACAAAGATCATGCTATGACGTAATATACTGTTCTGGCAGTTGAATGAGGCCAACCTGGATGCGAGATGGGCCACCTGCAACTCGAGACCTCGAAAGGCAAGGTCTTGTCTTGAGTACCGTCTAAAGACTCCACCTAAAAGCCGAAACATCCTTGGAATCCTGGTCGCCTTACGAGACCCATGCTGGCAGTCCGAATCATTAAACAGATCTCACCTCAACAATCCAACATAGTAGATTCTGTCTTAGTCCTCCTCTCCCCTATGCATGTACATATATATTATGTATGCACATGACTTTGCGGTCTTGTACAAACATTCTCAATCTGAGCATCCCGGCACTTTCTGTGTGAGCACGAGGCCGTCCACCAGCTCAGTGTCATCAGTCGTGGCTCCCAACCTCTCCGCAACACTCACTATCATAGTCACAGTGAGAGGACATGTGGCCCTGCAAGAGATGGATTTTGGGTTGAAGCGTGACAAATGGTCGAGGGCCACTGCGGAAGGGTGCTTTATGCAACCAGGCAACTTCTTCACTAGCCTGATGTCATTGAGGTCAACGTTGGCAGCAGTCTTGGGATCTGTCACCTGACAATACCATTTGCAACCTTTCTTCAACAATCTTCAACACATGTTTGGACTGATTGTCCCACTGCTGTCCTTCAGCACGGCATCCACTGCAATGGGGGCTAAGGTCTCAGATTCCTGCGACACGACCTTGGGCAAGATTCAGTCCAGTGATAGAAACTCATGAAACTCACCTGCAAAGTCCAAACTTGAGTAACGTGAGCCCTTGACTCCAGAGTCCAGTCTTGTCAGTCCAAGCTTCGCACTCCGACAGCACTAAATTGCTCGATTCAAGTTGTTAGCTGATGCGGCCCGGCCTTGGAATTCAAGGAGGTGATCGCAGCCTGCAAGAGGTGCTCTCGGTCAGCCAAATCCTCAATGCAATGAAAAGCGCCGTCGAACTCTCTGAGACGAAGAGGGCAAAGCGGCACGCCGTTTTCTTGGGTGCTCGTGATCGACCGAAGTCATTTTGACTCCCAATTTGTTACCTCCAACCTAAGAGCCATGGCCTCCAACCTAGAAGCAAAGGGATGTAAGACTACTTGTAAGACTCAAACAGTCAAGTTGACAAGATCTTCATTGTAACGTCAGCATGTGTACTCTCCAATTTGAGACACCTGCAGAGTTTGGGGGACAAGTTAGTCGAGGATCGACTGGCTGTGCCACCGCATCCAAAACCTCTTCTGCTTTATGTGCTGCCTGAAGGAACGCCTGAAAGCATTCATCAAGACTGCCAAAAGAAGGATTAATAATGAGGAGACGATGTCCAATCTATCCATCTTTGCACGATGATATGCCTCTGTGATGGTCTGCGGGTGAATGCCTTTCTTCAACCTCGTCAAATGGGGTGATGAGACTCTGAGACGGGACACGGACTTTTCAAGAACTGCCATGCTAGCAACAACTAGCACTGTCATGCTAGCAAAACTGTGCACAGCTTGGAAGATCACCTGTTCAAAGAAAATCGATAAATCATAATCTAACAGAATCAAACACGTCTGATTGATGGACTCTCGATCACTGGGGCTGGAGAATCCAAGCAATATCATACTGCATGATTTTGTGAACTGGTGGTCTGATTGACGATGGCCAACTCACTCTCACTGTTCAAGTCAGTGTTCCTCTGTTCTAAGCTTGGAACAGCCGCTCTGCCGCGTGCAGCAAAGCACCGGCAATTACCACCACACTGGTTGTGCCATCACCAGCCTCAATATCCTGGCATCAAGGTAACGTTTTTGAATATTCCTCGACCTGAACATGAGCCCTTCAATTTCCTCGTGACAATCTTGCCTTTGCTCTGAATGATTCAGCCCCTAAAAATGAAATGAGCTATAGCCTATAGGCCAAAGGCTCTTTTATCTTCCTACAGCATCTAGTTGGCCACTTCATGCGTCCTGCCTGCGCCTTGGACAACTCTGCCATCATCTTGGCAGTTGGGTGCTGTAATTTCAGCTTCCTTAGGAAAAGGAATTACGAAGGAACAATCAATTGCTAGGGAGACACTTGCCACGGTGAACAACTTTATCTTGGAACTTTCACCCAAATGGAGATCAGGTGTCAAATTGGTTGTCCATGGTCATCCACCAGTCGCGCCGTGGCGTAAAGGGGCAATTCATTGACGACCAATTGGCCAAGTGACGACAAAATGGTGGCGCCATCATTTGAGATCAGCACCTCACCTGGCAAGCACATGGTGCTTAATATATACTGGTACCACTGGCAGGGCTGCGAACACATGACCAGAGAAGGGTAGAGTGGTTTTCCCAATTGTGCAAGAGCTTCAGAAATCCAAAGGATATGACTTCATGTAACACTACAGGATACCTTTTGCGAGAACCAACGGTAGTAGCGCTAATCTCTTCTAAAGGGCCCCGCTTCACACCTCGGGGCTCTTGGATCATTTTGTCCATGCCCTTTGGTCCAAGAGATGTCCTGGGCATCGCTACCGAGTTCGAGCAACAGCCATGCAAAGACTTTCGAGGCTCACGGAACTGGTGCACAAAAGAACGTATGCCTGCGACTTTGACCTCAGTTCCTCCAGACAAAAAAAAGCTAGAATCTAGACACAACAACATAGTTATATATATATATTTACAGTATAATAAGCCTGAACCCTTCTGCATCCAAGCCATCGAAGCCTAAGAAGTTATTTAGGCATACTTGAGCTACTAGTAGCTTACCAACCTACTCATACGGCCTACCTAACCCCCGCCTTTTAAAGAAAAACGCTCCTGACAGTGTCGCTTACAGCTTTGGCCGCCAAGATGTTTGAAAGGCGGACATCTTGCCTTCAGACTGGGGCAGCCAAGCAACATCCACAATGCAAGACAAGGTTCAAGAGGTGGTAGACGGTCTGTTTGAGAGTCAAATTAGTAGATTCATGCTCATGAACTTGCTTGTGTGGGTGATGCCTGCCATCTTTGTGCCATCCCTTGAGCAACCGAATGCCGCCAATGGGAGGGTAAGTGTAGTTCCCCTAGCGCAACCTGGGGCCCTCACCCCTTCTCATCGTTGGCCTGTCGTGTGAACTTAGATAAACTGAGCGTTTGGGCTCTCTCCATACAAGACAATGTCGTGATGTGGCCTTAAAGCTGATTTGGATCTCTACACAGTCTACACACTATATAATAGTTGATTTTGCTGCCAAATAACGTTTCTGTTCGGGTGTCAACATCAAGTCCACACCTTCTGCTTGCCGCCAGTTTCAGGCGCCGTCATGGCCGCAAGGGACAGGACACCAGGTCTATTTGACACCGTATCTACAAAAGGCAGCGGGCCACTTTCCGAATGAAGCCGCGATGGTGGGGGACAATGTGTAAGACTTGATAGAGGCTTTACTTGAGGAGTCTTTGCCCAAGGTTTCCATTGAGGGGTTCCAGCTGAGCCTGTTCACAAGAGACTTGAACATGTGGTAGAATTTAATGGTCCTCTAAGTCCCTAAGTATTATGAAACATAGAATGCTCGGTCATAGCTTAGTATGCGGGCTGAGTTGCAAACAACATCGGAAGTCGCAGCCAATCGCCTGCAAATGGCGTCCAAAAGTGTGAGAAAGGGTATCCGTGTGCAGCCCCATTACAGCAGGATACTAGGAGCAAGGACGCTACTAGGGGCTAATGTTGAAATTCTGTAGTGACGTCAAAAGATCCGATTTCTCATGCGAGGTATCTTAAGGGGACCCCCTCTCACAGGCGGGCTGGAATATGTAATTGTTTATTCTGACCATCTTCCACATAGATGCTGAATATTATTTCAGTATGTCATGTCACATTGTAGAAGAATTTGCTTGCAAGTGACATCTTGATATGATTCAGCTTTCAATCCATGTCCGAGAGAGCAGCTGTGCTGCGCGGATGCCCAACCTTTTCCACCCCATCAAAACACTGCTCAGATCAATCGGTGTGAACCCCCATCAATTGAACATGTGTTCAATAGTTTTCAGAATGTTTCAGAACTTGAATGCTTCGCTTGGTATGCATCTCATGTGTGAACCTGTTGCAAAGTTACAGTATTCCTAAATTGTTCTACACTCTATGGGTGATACCTTGACTCACTACCTTGCTTAAATTGCTTAAATATTGTTCCAGGAGCTCACCTCTCCCCGTTCGGCCAAAGGAAAAACATGTTTGGTATCAGGACACGACGATACTGTGAAATGGGTGTCGACATGAGCCTCCATTTTGCTGTGTGTTCCGGTGCATGGGGTCTAGAATCAGGAACACTACATCGCTGTAACATTGTAAAGAAAGCCGGCAGCCTTTGAATTTCTTTTGATAAATGCAAGCGGCCAAACGTATACACAAACAAGGACGCCGTCTGCTACAGATCGATTCCTTCACCAAACAGTGCCATCAAAATCAAGTAGGAGCGTTGATAATGGTGATCCCAAGAAAATACTGCAAGTACAAGCATGAGGAGCCATCGTAAGTGCCTGCAAAGGTCTTGCCCTTTGGGTGTCTGTGCATCCAAGGCAATGGAGCGTTTTCCTAAATTGCAGCCTGAGAAGATTCAATCAAAAAGCAAACAAGCATGCAAACTCAAAAAGGCCCTGAAATTGATCTAGATTTGCAATGCCAAACTAAAATCACCGGCATGGATATTGAATGTGTGAAACCAACCATCTCAAAGGCGCGCTCTCTATCTCAATCCAGAGACTACTCAGTCCGAAGTGTCAAGATTACACATCTGAAATCCAAATGTACATCTTCAAGGCAAGTTAAGTTTCGCTAAAAAGTACAGGAACCAAATGAATAGTGCGAGCGTGAGCTATCCTGCATCCTAGCTAGTAGCAAGTTTTGCTTTAAAAAATGTTAAATCTTCAAGGTCCAAAAGGATCCAAAAAGCATGTTTGCCAAGGGGCAAGCAAAATAGGAGCTTGGCTTGCTCGGATCATCCCCTCGCAATCGCCAGCTGCGTGTGACATCACCGCCTGTCCTCGCATGGGCACACATTTGCATGACACCGTGGAAACTGCTGATTCTTCCGAGTCATGAACTATCTGAGCACCGGTCTTTCTGTTCTCCACCTCGCATTTGCATGCACAACCGAAAACCCCCATCAACTCACAATGCCTTCAACATCAATTTCGCAAGCCTGGCATGCACTTGATGCTGGTGCTTTTCTTTGGAGTGTCGTTAGTCTTGCCAATGTAAGTTTTGAGAGATTGCTGAACGACCGAAGAGCTGCTTGTGTTGGTCGCGTACTTCCCTTATTGAAGCAAAGAACAATGGCATGCTTGTTTTGCTCAATGATTTGAATGCTTCGTAGGTTTGATGGAGCTTGGCAATTTGCAGACCGTTGGCCAGAGTACTCTTGGCAAAAAGTCTGTAGGTCATGGCCTCCACCGGCACGCTGTCAGTATGTCCCCAATTGTCCCCGTGTTAAACTGTTAGGCAGTGCACTGGGCATTCCTTAACATGTGATGGATGGCCAAAATGGAGAAGGCCTTTGCCGTTGCTGAGGTGGCGCTTTCCATGAAAGGCTCCCCAAGAAGTTCTCAAATTTCAGCTTCCAGAAAATTCAGATTGATGCTAAAGCACCAGGCACCAGGCCAATAATAATGAGCACATCAAACACCTACCTTTCATTCAATCACCAGGATACTGCACAATAATTTATTTAAGGGCTGCCGCCCCTGCCGCCGACCCCGGATTCTCAGGTCCGGCTTTTCCTCCACTGGTTGGCATTGCGAGGGTTTTTCGAACAGGGGTTTCAGTCGTCCTTTTAAAGGTTGCTCTTCTGGAATCGTCGTTTCTTTCCGGTGTCGAGGTCCGTGCCCGTGCGGAGCGTTTCATTGCCTGCTCTCTGGATTGTTTGCTAGCATTTTCCACCACTAACCAGCCTCCCAAAAAGCATCTGA